GTAGTAGTAGTAGTAGTAGTAGTAGTAGTAGTAGTAGTAGCAGTAGTAGTAGTAGTAGTAGTAGTAGTAGTAGTAGTAGTAGTAGCTAGTAGTAGTAGTAGTAGTAGTAGTAGTAGTAGTAGTAGTAGTAGTAGTAGTAGTAGTAGTAGTAGTAGTAGTAGTAGTAGTAGTAGTACTAGTAGTAGTAGTAGCTAGTAGTAGTAGTAGTAGTAGTAGTAGTAGTAGTAGTAGTAGTAGTAGTAGTAGTAGCAGTAGTAGTAGTAGTAGTAGTAGTAGTAGTAGTAGTAGCAGTAGTAGTAGTAGTAGTAGTAGTAGTAGTAGTAGTAGTAGTAGCAGTAGTAGTAGTAGTAGTAGTAGTAGTAGTAGTAGTAGTAGTAGTAGTAGTAGTAGTAGTAGTAGTAGTAGTAGTAGTAGCAGTAGTAGTAGTAGTAGTAGCAGTAGTAGTAGTAGTAGTAGTAGTAGTAGTAGTAGTAGTAGTAGTAGTAGTAGTAGTAGTAGTAGTAGTAGTAGTAGTAGTAGTAGTAGTAGTAGTAGTAGTAGTAGTAGTAGTAGTAGTAGTAGTAGTAGTAGTACCTGTGCTTGTTGTCGTAGAAGCGGATGTGTCGGTCTTCTCCTGCGCTGATGGTCAGGGGCAGAGACGGGTGACTTAAGACCTGGTTCACTCTGGTCTCTGGTTCGGTCTCTGGTCCAGACTCGGTCTCCAGACTCAGGATTTGCTGTTGCGTCTCCAGGTTGAAGAGGCCGATGGATCCAGAGGTGAAGGAGCAAACGATCAGGGCCGGATCAGAGGGAACGAGGGCCAGAGACGAGGGAACCTCCACATCTGAAACACACAAACTCTGTTTAAAAAGAATGATTACACTGTTCAGACGCTCAGGTCTGGACCAGGACTAAACCAGGACTAAACCAGGACTAAACCAGGACTGAACCAGGACTAAACCAGGTCTAAACCAGGTCTAAACCAGGACTGAACCAGGTCTAAACCAGACTGAACCAGGACTAAACCAGGACTAAACCAGGACTACTAAACCAGGGTAAACCAGGACTAAACCAGGACTAAACCAGGACTAAACCAGGACTAAACCAGGACTAAACCAGGACTAAACCAGGACTAAACCAGGACTAAACCAGGTCTAAACCAACTAAACCAGGACTAAACCAGGACTCTAAACCAGGACTAAACCAACAAACCAGGACTAAACCAGAACTAAACCAGGTCTAAACCAGGACTAAACCAGGACTAAACCAGGACTAAACCAGGACTAAACCAGGACTAAACCAGGACTAAACCAGGACTAAACCAGGACTACTAAACCAGGACTAAACCAGGACTAAACCAGGACTCTAAACCAGAACCAGGACTAAACCAGGTCTAAACCAGGACTAAACCAGGCCTAAACCAGGAACTAAAACCAGGTCTAAACCAGGTCTAAACCAGGACTAAACCAGGACTAAACCAGAACTAAACCAGGACTAAACCAGGTCTAAACCAGGACTAAACCAGGACTAAACCAGGACTAAACCAGGACTAAACCAGGACTAAAACCAGGACTCTAGGAAAACCAGGACTAAACCAGGACTAAACCAGGACTAAACCAGGACTAAACCAGGACTAAAACCAGGACTAAACCAGGACTAAACCAGGAAACTAAACCAACCAGACTAAACCAGGTCTAAACCAGGACTCTAAACCAGGACTAAACCAGAACTAAACCAGAACCAGGACTAAACCAGGACTAAACCAGGACTAAACCAGGACTAAACCAGGACTAAACCAGGACTAAACCAGGACTACTAAACCAGGACTAAACCAGGACTAAACCAGGACTAAACCAGGACTAAACCAGACTAAACCAGGACTAAAACCAGGACTAAACCAGGACTAAACCAGGACTAAACCAGGACTAAACCAGACTAAACCAGACTAAACCAGGACTAAACCAGAACTAAACCAGGACTAAACCAGGACTAAACCAGGTCTGAACCAGGACTAAACCAGGACTAAACCAGGACTAAACCAGGACTAAACCAGAACTAAACCAGGACTAAACCAGGACTAAACCAGGTCTGAACCAGGACTATGACATGAATAATGACACTGCGCAATAAATGAAGTGTGCAATGAACTAGTAAAATGGACTAAGCTAGGTCTAAATCCTAACCCTGCCTCACCTGTCGCCTCACCTGTCGTCTCACCTGTCGCCTCACCTGTCATCTCACCTGTCGTCTCACCTGTCGCCTCACCTGTCGTCTCACCTGTCGCCTCACCTGTCGTCTCACCTGTCGCCTCACCTGTCGTCACCTCACCGTCGTCTCACCTGTCGTCCTCACCTGTCGTCTCACCTGTCGCCTCACCTGTCGTCTCACCTGTCGCCTCACCTGTCGCCTCACCTGTCGTCTCACCTGTCGCCTCACCTGTCGCCTCACCTGTCGTCTCACCTGTCGCCTCACCTGTCGCCTCACCTGTCGTCTCACCTGTCGCTTCACCTGTCGCCTCACCTGTCGTCTCACCTGTCGCCTCACCTGTCGCCTCACCTGTCGTCTCACCTGTCCTGATGACGGTGAGCGCCGGCAGAGTCTCGGCCGCGTCCCAAACCCTCAGCGTCCCGTCGGCCGAACAGGAAACGAGGCGCTGGTGGGCGGAGCTATAGGCCACGCCCCACACGGCGTCCGAGTGTCCGCAGAGCGCCCCCCGCAGGACGCCGGGCTCTGAGGGCACACGGGAAACAGTCAGATGCCCTCCCCAAGTGATGAAACCAGGACTAAACCAGGTCTAAACCAGGTCTAAATGTGTGTCAGGTGCCCTCCCCGTGTGTGTCAGGTGCCCTCCCGTGTGTGTCAGATGCCCTCCCGCGTGTGTCAGGTGCCCTCCCGCGTGTGTCAGGTGCCCTCCCGCGTGTGTCAGATGCCCTCCCGCGTGTGTCAGGTGCCCTCCCGCGTGTGTCAGATGCCCTCCCGCGTGTGTCAGATGCCCTCCCGCGTGTGTCAGATGCCCCCCGCGTGTGTCAGGTGCCCTCCCGCGTGTGTCAGACCGCGTGTGTCAGATGCCCTCCCGCGTGTGTCAGATGCCCTCCCGCGTGTGTCAGATGCCCTCCCGCGTGTGTCAGATGCCCCGCGTGTGTCATCCCTCCCGCGTGTGTCAGATGCCCTCCCGCGTGTGTCAGATGCTCTCCCGCGTGTGTCAGATGCCCTCCCGTGTACCGTAGGGGTCGTAGGGGTCGGTGGCGGCGCTGGGCGTGTTCCAGCTGTAGATGGCGCCGTCGGCTCCTCCACTGAAGCACTGCTCCCCAGAAGAACTCATGACCACGGACAAGACCGGAGCACTGAGGACGAGAACCAGGACTGAACCAGGTCTAAACTAGGACTAAACCAGGTCTAAACCAGGACTAAACCAGGTCTGAACCAGGACTAAACCAGGACTAAACCAGGACTAAATCAGGACTAAACCAGGACTAAACCAGGACTAAACCAGAACTAAACCAGAACTAAACCAGAACTAAACCAGGACTAAACCAGGTCTACACCAGGACTGAACCAGGACTAAACCAGAACTAAACCAGGACTAAACCAGGACTGAACTGGGACTAAACCAGGACTAAACCAGGACTGAACCAGGACTAAACCAGGACTAAACCAGGTCTAAACCAGGTCTAAACCAGGACTGAACCAGAACTAAACCAGGTCTAAACCAGGTCTACACCAGGACTGAACCAGGACTGACCTGTGAGCTCTGTAGGTGTAGATGGGCTCCACGTCTAAAGCAGCACATCTGGACACAGAAAAGAGGCGTTAGAAATCTGGTTCATGAGGACTCAACCCGGATTAAAACAAGTCTAAACCAGGACTAAACCAGGTCTTTTGGCGTACTTCTTGTTGGCGCTGGTCTTGTGCAGGTTCCAGAGTTTGAGCGTGTGGTCCTCAGACGCCGTCAGCAGCAGCGGCTCCGTCGGGTGAAAGACCAGAGACCGAACCGAGTCCAGGTGGCTCCTCAAACTGAACCTCTGAGACCAGGTCCTCCTCCCAGAGTCCACAGAGCCCACCGAGACCTGAGGACCAGAGACCAGAGACCAGGGTTAGACCAGGACCAGGACCAGAGACCAGGTCCTCCTCCCAGAGTCCACAGAGCCCACCGAGACCTGAGGACCAGAGACCAGAGACCAGGGTTAGACCAGGACCAGGACCAGGACCAGGACCAGAGACCAGGTCCTCCTCCCAGAGTCCACAGAGCCCACCGAGACCTGAGGAAGCAGAGGAAGAAGAGGAAGAAGAGGAGCGGAGGAGCACTCACGTCGTACACGGGTCCCTCGGACTCGTTGGCCACCGTGAGTCCGGCCAGTTCCCCCAGACCCAGGTCCAGGGACACGGCCTCGTCCACCGGCCCCAGGAGGAAGGACTTCCCCTGGGACGCCACGAACACCGGCTCTGAGGACGAGAAGAAGAGTCAGACTCCCCCCCGTGTGTCAGATGCCCTCCCCACACTCCGGTACCGTCGTCCGGTCGGCCCGCGTCCTGGTCGGCGAAGCGGCCGGAGCGGGGGGGTCCGCAGGGAGGTCCACAGGGAGGTCCAGGGGGCAGGTCCTCGGCCTCGCGCAGGTTTGACAACATGTCCTGAAGTTTGGAACGGTTTGGACCTGGACAGAGAACAGAAAAGAACCAGGACTGAACCAGGACTGAACCAGGACTGAACCAGGACTGAACCAGGACTGAGTTTTGGTCCAGCACAAGTCCAAACCATCACAGAGTTCATGAGCGCGGCTTGAAGGCTTCACCCTGAGCTCCTGTGACAGACGTGGAAGAGTCTGGAGAAGACGAGGAGAACGTTCTGCTGCTGCTCCAGGTTTCACAGGAGGTTTGGTGGTGGGTCAGTGATGTTCTGAGGAGGCAGATCCATGGACGGACACACAGACCTAAACCAATGAGAAAACCCCCGTCTGACGCCTTTAGGCATCAAGATGAAACCCTTGAACCTGTCAGAGCCTCCACTGGAGCAGAAGGTCCTG